AGAGCCACCAGTCAAATCAGAAGAGGATAATAAATAATCTATTTCCATTCAAACACATTCTAACAATCAACTTATTATGACTATAAAAACACTCGTCGTATTTCCCATCTAATTGCAATGGATTAATAACACTCGTACTATTATTTCTGAATGTACATTATCTCATATTGAATTTTAATCCAATATCTAGTCGATTCCAAACATGTATATAAATGAAGGAAAGAAGTTGTGTGAGTAACTTGATATGATTATGAGCAATAGTTTGTGCTCGAAACGTCATCAGTAAATATTACTGTATAACACTGTGAGACTCTATCAAAATAAAAAATTTACCCATAATGGAATTACACTCTACCACAGTGCCCAAGTTTTATTCTTATATCAATGTCTTTCACTAACCTAGTCTAGGAAATATCATCTCAACTACAGGAGGCGTGGAAGAAGACAGGAACAAAATCCTGATCTTCAACAGTAATGTCAGGTCATTGATTCTATATGGTTCATAGACTTGGTGCGTCAAGAAAAAAAGCAATTTAAACAGGCCCCAGACTTTCACTAACAGCTGCCTTCGCTCTCTACTGTGAAGACCTTTGAGTGAAATCACGTGGTAAGTAGGCACTTGAGTGGGACTTCAACGGGAAACGACTGGATGAATGTCAGTTCATGGGCGTCATGGGGGAGATCATGTGTAGAGGAAACAGAAGATTGTCTTTAGTTGTTGAAAAAAATTTGAGAAAGACCGCAGAGAGCAGGAAAGTGTCAGTGTCCTCGTGAAGCCCTATGTTCTACGATCACTGAGTGGCTTTCTTCACACCTGAATTGATTGACCTCACCAGCTGTGAATTCAAAATAATAGAACTCCAAAAGTAATAACATGCTCTTCCTTTCAATGCCATCTGACAGCACTTAGTTCGAACACAGTGAAAGTTGTCCGTGCTAAGATGAAAGAGTGTCCACAGACCTCTAATGAACAATAAATTCGAATGGAAACTAATTTATATTTAAATGAGAAACCTGAAAGTTTGTTTACAAGTAAGCGGACCACGAAACTTGATATGTAAACAGATAAACAGTAGATAATCCTTTATTGGTGATATGGTGATCGATATCCAGCCTGGAAATTGACCAATCACATTTTGGCCCACGAGAAATAATGCCCAATATTTTATTGATCATGATTATAGACTAACTGACATATCCTTAGCGGTATTTTGAAGCGTACATTATAATCGTGTAAAATGTATTTTTCGACACATATCGCAGTGTGTTCTTGTTTAAATATTGAGGGCTGGTGGAGACTGGTAGCAGACGTAATATGTTGTTGGTGTAGTCAAGCACTATTCGTGATTAATGCGTCTAAGTCCAGCATTGGTGTCTCTATTTTGTTCTTTCTCAATCTCAGGGCTATTGAGCAATCAAGTTGCTTGTTCATAATAGAACTGATGAAATGTTTGTCACATAAATATTATTTATTTTCTCACTCTATTCCTGCTATCCTAAGTAATTGAAATATATCCGCCGCATATATGAGTGTTATTGTAACGATAATGAGTACCTGTCTTTTTTAACTATGAGGGTCTGAAGAGAAGACTTTATTGTAAGTAAAATATTCTTCATTCAGACCAACTTTTATTTTATGGTTTGGGAATATTTCACACCCTCTGATCTAATTTGCATAAAAAACACTAAACTACTTTGCAAAATTTAAGTAGTTTGTATTGCTCCGTAAAATATTATAATGTTTCTAAGATTGCCCATGGAGGCCATTAGAAGACGTTAGCTGAAGGCACTTGTACTCTGAGAAATTAACAGTGTTCCCACTGGGATTAAAACCAAGTGCACATCATTTAAAACGTCAGAAAGTTACACGGAAGGCCAGCAGGTCGCTGGGCCCACCTTTTGTACAACCGGCATCAGCTGTCATTTGTTCGAATTAATTTTGTATCTCCCGTTGACACAGTTATGTTGCACCGAAATTCTCGAACTCTCTTTTGGCTCCTGTTACAGACTGCTTGACGATTTCTGAAGGCTAAAGTGATATTATCTGGCTGATGGAAACCAGCTAAAGGAATTTTTTTATTCCTTTATGTTCCCCCTGGAACGCTGCTAACCTCATGCCCAAACCTTCCCTCTTTACTAGTCTTATTATTGGCTTAGTGAGGTGAAGGAGTGCGCTGGCCGGGGATGGAACCCCGGACCACATGAGGCGTGGTTGGCGAGCATTCTACCATTGTGCCACCGACTCACATCAAAGGAATTTAGGCCAACTAAAAATGGGGAAGATATATTTGCGTGTATCTGCACCAAAAGGACGTTTCTTATTCGTGTTATTTGTGCGAAACAGTCAACACAAAGTAATGAACAAGATTTTTGCGTGCGAAAGTTTGTTAGTCAGATTAAGTTCAAGATGAAGGTTGAGATTTCTGAGCGTTGAATTCATCAAATGAACCGTAAATAATACCAAAGCATGAATGATAATGCCAAACAAACACTGAGTCTTATTTAAAACCAACCAACTTACCAACTCGTCCATAGCTTAGACCTTCACCACTAGCTGTAACTGGACCTGTTTCATCTTGTCCTACTAGAACACGGAATGGACTACCAGGTATTGGACGTTCATCCATTAATACATGAACTAAGTGTGCACCAGTCTCTTGAGGTGTAAAACGTACAGCGTGTTGATCCACGTCAACTTGATGCACAAATGCATCTGTTTGTAAACCAGACGGTGCAACAACATAGGCTCTCATTCTACCTCCCATTCCTGAATAATTAATTGTGAATGCTGTTGGACGTCCGATCTGGAAGAGAGGGAGAAAGAAGAATAAGATTTAGAAAGACACAAATGTAATGGCTCAGTTTGGATGTCATAATGATCCAAAGAATTTAACTGCTTGATAAGATTATTCCTTAAATTCGTATCATGCTAGAGAGGTGAGTAATTTCGCAGTCATCCATAAATTACTGATTTACCTGACATTTTTGCATAATCTACATGGTTTGGGTTCGACTCCTTGAGACTGAAGCCCTCCTACACCTCTTTTAATTGGTGGATGGTGACTAGCAGTGGAATCCAGGATGCGCATTTCGCGCGTCCTATTTGGGACTCGTCATCTGGATGTACCTGCATTTCCCAGTGAGTGATGATGTCCCCACCGAGGCTTGAACCCAGTGCCCATAGTTTCAAACGCCAAAGCGTTATCCACTAGACCACTTGGGCCACGAGAGCCATTGCCTCTTGTGCGACGAGTCATATTAATTATTTAACTGAATTTGAGATTTTCCCGTCGATTGATTGGACCGGAGTGCTCGGTCTCAGGTCGACATATCGGCATCTTGAGAAATGCGGGTACATCCAGTTGACGAGTGCCAAATATGACGAAATGCGCATCCTAGATTCCACTGCTAGTCACCATCCACCAATTAAATACTAATTAAATGCCAAGACATCGTCGAAGCATCTGTTCAAGAAGCCGACATGTCAACCTGAGACCGAGCACTCCGGTCCAATCAATCGACGGGAAAATCTAAAAAACTCCTACACCTCGCCTAGTTTGTTTACTAGCCAATAATAACCCTAGAAAAGAGGTAGGAGAGCAACCTTGTCTCGTTAAAAGAACATCACGGCTACTGAAAGTTAAAAGCGTGAATCTTTCAGGCGTATGTTCCACTAGGAATGCAATTAATGATATTATCCACGTGTTCTCGTCGGTGAAAATGGCCACTATCTGTTCAAGAAGTATCATAGCAATCAGTATTACTCTCTGTATAGGTTATTTCACTGGATATATCTTACAGTGAGATGATGAATCGATCAGAGTGTGTCCTTCATAACTGTAATTACATCATGTATTATGTAATAGATGATGGAACTGTTGTCTTGTGACAACAGTGGTGATGTTACCACATTTTTGGTGGCATATATATATAATTTAAATACAGTACAAAAAATTTACCAATCTTGTAGTAGCAAATTCTTCAACAATAATTGGTCAGTATTAGCATGTCAGTGGGGTCATCATTAACCAAGATAATTATTATTACTATTATTATAACTATTTCCTTTAGTTCTCAGGGGAACATAGGGCTTCAGCCGTGCTTCTCCATTGCGTTCGATTCTCTGCTAGAATCTTCACCTGGCTCTAAGTCTACCCACATGTTTTCATCCCCTCTTCACATGACCTCCTCCAAGTCACCCTTGCATTGACGACCAACTCGCCGCTTCCCTTTCGGGTACCGCTCGAACAATGGCTTGTCTAGTGATGTCACTTGATGGTTTCCTCGGAGTATGGCCAGCCAATCCACCTCCATTTCTTCCTGCTTATTTGTTGCCCAATCGGTTCCTGGTTGGTATGCTTCCAGAGATCTCTGTTGCTGATCTTTTCTGGCCGGCCATCTGATCTTGAGTAGTGTTGAGCGAAGACAACTGTTAATGAAGGTCTGCAGTTTGTTTGAGATGCTCTTTATGACGCACTGGCCAAGTCTCTGATCCGTATAGTGAGTAGCACTGACTGACTTCACATTGGAGTTGAAAATCCGGATCTTATTTTTGATGCTGAGTGCTGTTGACCTCCACACAGATTTGAGAATAGTGAAAGCTTGTCTTGCTTTTCTGATTCTTGCTTTGATATCCTCGTCAGTTCCGCCCGCCTGTAGTTGAAACGATGCTTCCAAGGTAGGTAAAAGAGGTTGTTTCTGTCAGATTCCTCCCATTTATGCTGATTGTTGTCTGTTGTTGTTGTTGCTGTTGGTGGTGTTGGCCAGGAATCTTCATCACCTCTGTCTTCTCTATGTTCACCTGAAGTCCTATCTTTGATGCCTCTTCTGCCAACTTGTTGCTTTTCCCTTGCATATCTCCCAGTTACCAACTTAATTAATATAACAATTAAAGGGTGGAAATAGTTGCGAAAATTAAACCAGTGGGTTACATGATACATAATTTTGGAAAAACAAACATTAATTAATTAATAAATGAATCAGAGAACCACTGAAAGTCAGAGAGTACTGCCAGACAACTGTTTCATCCTAGTTTGGGAATCATCGACAGTACGCACCCATCACTACCGTTCGAACCCAGGACCTTCCGCTAACAAGGCAAGCTGGCTTGTATACCATTCAGCCACCTGCACTCGATTCAATGGCCAGTCCATGAATTCTAATTTCTACCAATTCGTGATTTTAGCTTGACCACCAACCAATGTCATCGGCAGGAACTTCATCCTCACTTTTGTCTGGATGAACCCCACTGGTCACGAACGACTTCCCACTAGAACTCTAGGGAACTTCGTTCTGTAGCCAATCACTAGAGAGCATCAGATTAATTTTCAAGGATTGGTTTTTGTAAGGATTCTATCTGTTCCCACCGTTGAAATTGGTTTGACAGCTGGTTTTCAATGGTTCTCTAACTGATATCAATCCGTGGTTCAAACTAAAACAAACAGAATCCCCACAAAAACCAATTCTTGAAAATAAATAAGTGTTCAGGTTGGTTATGTAATGAGTAATTAAGTATGCAGTAATCACAATGATAAAATCATTAAGAAAATGCATGGAATAGAACGAATGCTTACCTGAAGACCACGATCTTGAACAGTAGCAAAACTCAACAATTTAGTATCAGGTGTATAGAATGTTCTCTCCATCGCTTCATTTATAATAACACGATACGGTGAATTCGGTATATGGTCATCATTAAAACGAATAGAGCATAAATATTCGCCTGGTTCAGTGACACGATATGAGACACCACATGAACCGTCTTTTCGATCCTTAAAATGATAGTCAGAAATGAATGAATAGGTTATGTTTTTATCTTCACAATGTGTTCAAAAATTAGGCAAACACACATAAATATACAATTTCTTTCCAGGAATTAGGGAGTTTTTGTGTAGGCAAAACAGTTACAAATCAGGTCATATAGATAGGTTAATTTATGTTATTATTATTGTTTCTTTTAGTTCCTAGAGGAACAGAGGCGTTCAGACACACGTCTCTATTACATTCCCTTCTCTGCCAACGTTTTCAACTGGCTCCACGTCTGCCCACATGCTTTCATCTCATCTTCACATGATCTCCTCCTCCATGTCACTCTTGGACGACCAACTCGCCGCTTCCCTTTCCGGTTCCACTCGAGCGATGGCCTGACGCGCGATATCACCCAACGGCCTCCTCAGCGAGTGTCCAATCCATCTCCACTTTCTCCTGCATATTTGTTGAGCGATTGGTTCTTGTTTTGTTTGTTCCCATAGTTTCTTGTTGGTGATTCTTTCCGCCCATCTGATCTTCAGTATAGAGCGAAGACAATTGTTGATAAAGGTCTGCAACAGGCTGTTGGAAATATTCTTTGTGACCCGCCAAGTTTCTGATCTGTATAGAAGAACTGACTGACTTGACGTTTGTATTGAAAATCCGAATTTTGTTGTTGATGCTGAGTGAAGAATATTTCCAGATTGGTTTCAGGCTGATGAATGTGTTTCTTGCCTTCCCGATTCTCGATTTGGCATCCTCGTCCGTTCCTCCTGTAGTTGAGACAATGCTCCATAGATAAGTGAAAGAAGTAACCTCTCTCAAATCCCTCCCGTTGATGGTAATTATCGGTGGATGTTTCTGTTGTTGTTGTTGTTGGTTATTTTCATAACCTCCGTCTTGTCTATGTTCACCTGGAATCCTGTCTTTGGTGCTTCTTCGACCAGTTTGTCGGTTTTTGCTTGTAAGTCTTCGATTTTGCGTGACATCAAACATAAATCATCATCAGAGACTGTCTCTATACAGGGAGTTAATTGGAGTTCTAGTCAGAAGTGGTGATCAGTGGGTTCCACTGAATCGGGTGTGAACAAAAGTACTCGCCGAAGACATTGGTGATATCACCACATATCGCGAATGCAATGTATTTACAACTCATGCTCAGTCGAGCTGTCTTCCAGTGGTTGAATGTTATACGAGCTCGCCTTGTAATCTGAAGGTTTTAGTTTCTCTTCTTGGCGGGATCCTGTGTAAGTACCTTTGAGGAGCCCTAAGATGGGAGACAACTGTCCAATACCCCCAAGCTTTGGTAACAGGATTTAATCAGGAACTGACATTGGTTATAGAACCATTGGAAAACCTGCAGGGAGTACTGAACAGCCAACTGTTTCGTCTTAGTTTGGGACTCCTCATCAGTACGCGCCCACCGGCGTTCGAACCCACGACCTTCTGGTTACAAGGCTAGTGAGCTCGTAGGCAATTAAGCCGCTGGGACACGATCCGTTGACCCATGAATTCTAACTTCTGCCAACTCACGATATAGTGCAACCGCTAGCCAATGTCTTCGGTGAGTATTTGTCCTCACACCCGACCTGCTACACCCTACTTGTCACGACTTTCCACTAGAACCGCAGGTAACTACCTACCTGAATAAGGCCAGTCGCCAGTGAGCATCTCATTGATATTCAAGTATTGGTTTGTAGGGATTTGATTGATTGGTTACAGGATTTCATCATGAGCTGACATTGGAAAACCTGAGAGTACTGGACAGCTGTTTCGTCCTAGTTTGTGACTCTTCATCAGCACGCAGCCACCGGGGTTTGAAACAGCTGTCCAGTACTCCCAGGTTTTCCAATGGTTCTCTAACCAATGTCAGCTCATGATGAAATCCTGTAACCAATCAACCAAATCCCTACAAACCAATACTTCAGTAACCCCCAGGCTTTCTTTGATTCTCTAATTGACATCAACTCATAACAAAACTTGAAACTAATCAGCTACCTGTAAACCGACTCTCGAAAACTCAATTCAATTGATTAATCTCGTTAGCATCATACTGTTTCAAATGCTTCTGCATCTCTATCATGTCATTGCACACAGTGTTATTATAATAACTTCAAAATTGGCTTCAAGAAGTCCTTCACTGAACAATATTCCTTTTTTAGGAACAACTGTCCCTCGCTGTCTGCGGTATGCGTAGTAGAGAAATAATAATTGCCCACAAATTTGCATAAGCATGCAAAGCTTTCTTTATCTCTTTCTAACGAGAATTCCAGCGGTTTGGAGGGATTGAAATTGTCTAAGCTGAGTCTCTCCGTGTACATTAGTGATTTGGTAGACTATAAACAAAAGAAATGGCTGTTGGGCGTAAACAGTACTGATTACTTTTGGTCGATTTTCAACTACTACTCAACAAAATCAAGTAGTATATACATAATTTGAAAACTTTCTTATTGACTAACCTCAAAATCTATTTCCGCTTTACTTGGTCCTTCTATAGCAATTGACAAACCGCCTGCACCTGCTTCTCTAGTATAAATACTGAAATCATTCGGTGAATAAGTTAAACCATGTAGTAATCCTGGACCAGCAGCGTGTACTTTATGCGCTCCACCTTCTGTGATAGGACCAACAGTAAATTGGAATGGACTTCCTAAATACAAGGAGAGATGAGAAGAATGAATGGTTTTATGTGCATATTCAATCTAGACAGATTTTTTGTGATGTTCTAATTGATTTTTAGAAAAAAAATTTACTCACCAGAGATGTGTGATCCACGATGACGTACTGAAACAGTGTGTACACCCATTTCTTGAGGTACAAATTTGATAGTATAGTTCACATCGTCTGTAGCTAATACATCACATCTTTGAGTTACTCCTGATGGACTGGTGACATTCGCTGTTAAATCACGAATATTTATTCCTGTATTGTATAAAAATAAAGAAGAAGAAAAAAGTAGAATAGCAATGACAGAACAAGGAAAATGGGACATTAGTTTGTGTGTCATTATTTGTTTCTGGGGTAAATCTTTACTTCTGATTGGTTGATAATGTTGGAGTAAAATTCTCAGTCAGTTTGGCGTTTGAAATGATAGGTACTCGGTCCGAGTGCCAATGGAAACATCATCACTCCCTCACTGGGTAGAATGCAGATACATCTAGCTGACAAGTCTTGACCGAAACATGCTCTACATAAGTATTTTAAGCCAGTTCTAGAATAATAATAATAACAATAATAATGGCTTTATTCCAAACAGTATTTGTGGTACAGGTATGGAATTTTCAGCGTGCATAACACTATACTGCATCTAATTACCTCATAAATTTTATAAGAATTTAAAAATAAAAAGCAACAACAACAAAAAGAAAAAAAGAGAAATAAAAGAAATAAAAAAAGAACAGCATTGCATTCACATATTTAAACAATGCACCACAGGATATGAAACATAAAATTAGTGTGTAATAGAATATATGAGCAACAATATAATAGTAACAAAGAAAGGAGAACAAAAGCTAATGGGAACTATTTGTTAGAGTGCCGCAGTAAGGTGATCGTATCATGCCTAACAGTTTTCTCATCACATAACAGCTGTGCCAGATAAGTTATTGTGGAGTTTTTATACTTGGTAGTCCTGGCATATAGCTTCCTGTAGTTGCTTCTAGTTCTACCAGATGAAATGCAAGGAGAGAGCTGCGTATAGAGAGGATGCTCGGGGTCTGACAATATAGAACTCGCTAGTTTCTTACATGACATTATATGTCTATGCACAATGGTGTTAACCAGTTGGTTTGACGAAATCCCACTTCCCCTACTAACAGCTTTTAGTGCCCTATGCAGCGAAGCAAAGTCTTTTTTAAGTAGTTCAGGGAAGATTAATGGGGAGCAGTAAAGAGGGATGGGTAGAATACAGGGATTGACAAACTGAGAAAGCAAAGACTGCTTTATACCAGACTGCCTTAATTTCCTAACGTAGAACGTTAAGCGAAACATCTTTCTAGTAACTAGCAAGATATGAGAGGACCAGGAAAAATCCGAAGAAAAAACTCAGTTCAAGGTATTTGACATTAGATGTAATTTCAACCTCTATGCCGTCAATGATAGTGGGGCCATGTGAGCTAGCTAGTTGTTGTAGGTCACTTTTTCGTCTGAAAGTGAAATTTACTACCTGACATTTAGACGGATTCAGCTTAAGACCGTTTGAAGAGGACCACTGACTAATTTCCGAGAGAAAGTTATTTAATATGGAACAGTCTGACTGAGAGTTGACTGGCATGGAGACAGAGAGGTCATCAGCATACTTGACAAAAGTTGCTACATCAGAATGGGGCAGGTCATGTAAGAAAAAAGAAAACAAAAAAGGGGGAAGAACAGCACCTTGAGGAACACCAGCTAAAGTAAGTGAGGTAGTGGAGGACTTTCCATTGTAGACAATGTACTGCTTCCTATCAGAAAAATAGGAATACAACCACTTATTTATCCAGCTCTCACTCTGTGTTGCAGCAAGCTTACTTAACAAGAGAGACCTAGGTACAGAGTGAAATGCAGATGTGTAATCAAGGAAGGCACACCGAAGCGACGAGTGACTGAACTAAAAACCTTCAGGCTGCAGGGCGAGCCAGTGGACCATTCAGCAACTAAGCGGTGCTGCTACACACTGAAAAATAACAGAAGTTAGAATTCCGTAGACATTACATTTCAACACAATGGGTAAATAGTCAGCCCATCCGTTTACTAGCCTGAGCTTTCTGGATTCAATCAATGCTGGGGCCATTGTTTATGTATTCGTGACGAAATCTTTACTGCATCTCACTGAAAATTACTACGTATTCAAAAGATCTCGTGATAAGGCTGGTCAAACAACCTTTATCATTACAATGAAAGTGCTTTCTGTATGAAACCAAAGGGCTTCTGAATTTGAAGTTTCAGTAGAGTAGATGGCGGTGATGTTTCCTCAGACTTAAGTTGCCAGACCCAGGTCACGAACCTTCCCTCCCCCCATCTCTCTCTTTCTGTCCCTCTCTTGGCTTACTATCGACTAGCAAATAAACTAGGCGAAGTGCAGGAGTACGTCAGTGGCTGAGAATACATTCCAAACCACTTGTCGTGGCTGACCAATGTTCTATCACTGAGCCACGGACGCATCTGAACAGCCTATAATACTTATTTTTAATTAGAACAAGACATATAAGCGAACAGTGTTGCTGTTTTCAATTAGATCTTCTTCAGGCTTTCCTCTAATTTACATAGATCTATATATAAAATTTTTAACCAATGACGTTGATTTTGTGGATCAAATAATAATAATAACAAAATATTGATAATGAGGTTTATGCAGGTGGCGAAAAGAATAACAAAGTCAGTAATATGTGTATATGTAGACAATTCAATAAATAAATTAGATCAAATCTTAAAAGCTACGTAATACTAAAGGTGAAGTGGACAGATAATCAGAGTTTAAATAAATATCATAAAATTACGAAGGAGATGGAAAATAAGAGAGGATAGGAGGGTTTTGAATAGAATTCACCTAGGCTAAGGAAGGGAGAGACAAAAGTAGAACAAACTTCTTTGATCGTATGCAAAGACTAGGATCGTTCTCTCGAATTAATTCCCATGGCTTCAGTTATGTGTAAAAGACGGATTCGAACAACTAGACAGCTTAACAAACACATTATTGAGCATCTTCCTTCATGGTTCGGAAAAAGTCAAATAAAATCTATAACAAGTTCTATTTTGGTTCATTTGATTGATAGCGGTGACCAATTGGACAGAAGTAGTGCCTTCAAAGTTATCTATCGCATTCTATCGAGCCTTTCGAACGGAATTCGAACCCGTCTTTTACTCATAGCCGAAGCTATGAGGATGAATTCGAGAGAACGATCGTAGTCTTTGCAAACGACAAAAGAAGTTTGTTCTACCTTTGTCTCTCCCTCGCTTAGCCTAGGTGAATTCTATTTGAAACACTCCCACCCTTTCTTATCTTCCATCTCCTTCGTACTTTTATGATATTTATTTAAACTCTGATTATCTGTCCACTTCACCACCTTTAGCATTACATAACTTTTAAGATTTGATCTAATTTATTTATTGAATTGTCTACATATACAAAACATCTACCACATTATTATTATTATTTGATCCACAAAATCACCGTTATTGGTTAAAATTTTCTATATATAAATCTATGTAAATTCGAGTAAAGCATGAAGAAGATCTAATTGAAAACAATATTGTTCTAATATTAAATATGGGAATATTTAAAGATTATTTTAAATTGTAAAGTTTAATTATCTCCACCAGAAATGCAAAAGTCTAAATGTAAAAGTGCGATTTAGCTAAAAACTGTTTATATAATAATAATGATAAAAATAAAATGAAATGTTATCTTTAGACGGTGCCATCCCAGGGGTTGTAGTCTCTTGATGTCCCATTTATTTGTACGGAGGAAATAAAGACTGCTATCATTTCCTTTTGTAAAATATTATCACCGGCCATAATCAGTGTCTAAAATCCTTTTCTTTGCTAGTTGTCATTAAAAGTGTTATCAGATCCGCTGATAGATGTTTAAGACTAGGCATGGTTATATATATATATATATTCAAGTGTTGGTTTGTAGGGATTTGATTGGTTACAGGATTTTCATCATGAGCTGAAATCAGTTAGAGAACCACTGGAAAACCTGGGAGTACTGGACAGTACTGGACTGAATATCAATGAGATTCTCACTAGCGACTTGCCCTATTCAGGTAGGTAGTTACCTGGAGTTCTAGTGAGAAGTCGTGACCAGTAGGATGCAGCAGGTCGGGTGTGAGAACAAATACTCGCCGAAGACATTGGCTAGGGGTCGCGCTATGTCGTGAATTGGCAGAAGTTAGAGTTCATGGGCCATTGGATCGGATCCCAGTAGCTTAATAGTCTACGAGCTCGCTAACCTTGTAACCAGAAGGTCCCGGGTTCGAATCCTGGTGGGTGCGTACTGCTGAAGAGTCCCAAACTAGGATAAAACAGCTGTCCAGCACTCCTAGGTTTTCTAATGGTTCTCTAACTAATGTCAGCTCATGATGAAAATCCTGTAACCAATCAAATCCCTACAAACCAACACCTGAATATATATGTAGATAACATACATAGATTTAGAAAGAATCACTTCTTCTAACATGGATCAGAAACGTGGCGTCGCAGAGTTACGAAAAGGATTTCCAACAGCCAGCTGTAGACTTTTATTAACGGCTGCCTTCACCGACTCCTTACTGAATAAACAGATGGCCAAAAATGTATTAGCAATCAAAAACCTCTAGGAACGAACTAATCAAGAACTTATTGGTCAACAAATATGCCGGAGAAATTGTGGATAGATCGGACACACACTGAGGATGACATCGCGCGACTGGCTAGCGCATTTGACTGGAAGCCATGTGGGGAAAAACGAGTTCGAAATCTGAAGGCAACATGGAGTAGATCGTGTAAGGACGAGAAAGAAGTCTATGGACAATCATCGAGTTAGCTAAGGAGGTTTACTCAGGACAGGACAAAGTGGAAACTTGGTGTTGAAGTCCTATGCTCCTCTTGAAACCAACCCGATTTAATTTCTACACCTCACTACCACTGTTACTGACTTGAACAAGGCTCAATTTCTAATCATTTATGTTACGTCATCCAACTTATTTGCTCAATTTCACTTCTACTTAGTCTCCACCTGTAATTACCTCTGTTGCTAACCTGACCTAAGTTGAAACATTTTAGTCAATTATATTACGTCATCTAACTTACTAACTCAATCTTACTTTAGTTGCTATCTGATTAATCTTGTTTCTATATTAGATCATTCTTGTATTACCTGATCAATTATCTAAACTTGACAAACCTCATGTACACACACACACAATTAATTGTATATGAACGCGATTGTACAGCTATGTGAATGAATTCGCCGAAAAGAATCTCTTCGCTGAACGTCTTCTCTTTTTCATATGACTCAATGGGAATTTTCAAGCTACTCAAATATAAAATCCGTTAAAAACAGACTACAAAGCCAGTTGATTTTCTTATCAGTGGAAGTTCTAATAAATCATATTTATAGAATAATTAGGGATGAGAGTATCTAAGAGTGGTGATTGGATGATGACTAATGATAGAGAAATGGCCGTCTAAATCGTGGTGGAAATTCGAACCACCATCCAACACTCTACCAGGAGAGATAAGAGACCCCACCGCAATCATCCCTGGTAATGGGTGCCCAGCTGCTGTCTGAATAAATCATACTTAACTGTGTGTTTATAACTACCCAAGTTACCCAACTAAGTCTTCTCTTACCAAACTTAATTATATCGAATTAGAAGTAGAAGAGCCCTCAATTAAATAATAGTTAGAATATTTACGATATGTAAAATCACTTGCGAAAGTCACTGAGATTACACTATTTTCAGAGGTGAACAATATTCTTAACGAGTTCAGGTATAACTTGTAGACAAAGAAATAAGTTTTCAAGAGTTGGTTTGTAAGGATTAGATTTGTTTTTACGAGTTTGACCATGGATTGATATCAGTTAGAGAACCATTGAAAACCTGGGAGTACCGCCAGACAGCTGTTTCACCCTAGTTTGGGAATCTAGTGGGAAGTCGTGACCAGTGCGGTCCATCCAGTCGGAAGTGAGGATGGATGTCCCACCGATGACTTCGGCTTGTGGTCGCGCTAAAATCACGAATTGGTAGAAGTTAGGATTCATGGACTGGCCACTGAATCGGGTCCCGGTGGCTAAATGGTATACGAGCCAGCTTGACTTGTAACCGGAAGGTCCTGGGTTCGAACCCTAGTGGTGGGTGAATACTTCCGATGATTCCCAAACAGCTGTCTGACAGTACTCCCAGGTTTTCAATGATTCTCTAACCGATATCAATCCGTGGTCAAACTCGTAAAAGCAAACAAGTAACAGAGAAGATTTATAGCTCAGGTAGATGAATTCGGTATGATTGGGTTCCCTGAGTCGTTTGGTTTAATTTTAAAGCTTTAGACTGAACCCATTTGAATACTTCTTGAATGATATAATCGTCTCTCCTGATAATCTTCGCCGTGATTAAATGTTAATTTTCATGTGCATAAGTTATTTAATTGGCGTGGAATTTGACTTTTCTGTCATGCAACTTATTCTCTATCAGTTAATAAATCTGATCTATAATAATGTGTCCACTGATATGAGATTCGTTGAAGTTTCAGGAATCTAATAATTCTCTAGTATTTTCGGCTTTTCCATTATTTGAAATTTCTACATTTCCCCAGTTGATACATGTCTTGTATTTGCACAACTAGATCTTGGACATGGAGTAGTAGGTTTCGCCCCCTTTGATCAATATGGTGCTTGTCGCATTTCATGCAATTTATTTTGTAAATAGTTTTGATGTATTATTTTGATTGGACACTAGTAACTAGTGTGGCGTGTCTAGTCCTTTATTTGGTGCAAACTGAATTCTATCAGTCAGGTTTGCAATGTGGCCACCACACCACTAGGTGGCTCGCCATCACGGTGCACATTGATCTGATAATATTAGATGGCTGGAAGCAATCGGCAGGAAGCCCTGCTTGACCTAGGTTTCGTACTAGTTGGCACTCATAAGTCAGGAAGGCGTATCTGCAACCAACTTGAAGGAACTCATATCCCTTCTGAGATTCACACCCGCGTCACCCAGTGCTGCAGTCAGAGACGTTACCAGCGAGCAATTTGGGCTCGTGATTCACCTCCTGTAAGGTTGTATTGGATACCCTTTTGATTGCACACTAATTATTAACTAGTGTAATGTGTCGAGTCCTATGTTTGGTGCAGATTAAATTCTATCAGTTAGTGTTGGCACTGTACAACTTTGAAGTAAATTTATGAAAAATAGATCTCATTGTTCATAAAATGAATTAAGAAACATGAGTTCCAAGTAAAAGTACTTCTGACAGCTGTCTTCAGTAGCCTAACATCATCCATAATGAATAGGAAAAGATATAGGAAAGGTTGAAAGATTACTTATAACGTCACTTGTTAGGTGAAGATGAGCCTTATTGGCTTAACAACTTGGCTTTTATTCAGTAGGCTTCGGGTTCGAGTCCTACCTTAATTACTTCACTTTGAACAGCCGGGCACTGACACTAGTCCACTTATATTATGTATGGTAGACTGGATAAATTATAAAGTATTCGATAAAGACAATAATAATCCACACTTAACAACATTGAAAAAAAAATTTAACCTACCTGGAATTTTTAAATTCAATTCACACTGACTACCAACATAAGTTGCATCAGCAAGTTCCCTTTGTCGAGTAATTCGCTCCATCATTCTAAGCGAAGGTTCTCCACCGATATGAACAACAAAAGGACTTCCTGGGACTGGTTGATCAGCATACTTAACATTGATAATATATGTTCCAGGCTCTGTTGGTCGATAGGTGACAAGACAAGTACCATCTTGATTATCATGACATTCAATATCAGCTTTACTAGGACCTTCAATGGATAGATTTAAACCGCCATAACCTTGAAAAAAGAAAAAAAATATTACACAGAGTTACAATGGAATGTTAGCTCCTGGAATGAAATGTACAGTCCACCAGATTCGTCTTTTAAGATCATCTCCAAAGTGAAGCCAAATGGTACGAAGGGTGTCAGGTTTCGGCTTTTGTGTATGGTGGAGGCGCTGGCAATTCGTCAATACAACCCCGAACTCTGTATACAGAAAACGTTTGTCCAGTCTCTTACTCTACCTTGGTCTTAACATCTTCACTAGTCCTTCACTGTAATAAAAATTTTTTTGATTTTTTCTTTTCCTTTTCTAATTTTTACTTTTACTTTTAGTTTGCTTTTGCTTTAATAATTAATTCACTATTATCACTCTCATATGTTCCTTTTGTACATTTTCACACCCTCTTCACACTTGTTAAATTGACACTCAACTACCACCTTTCTTCTCACTCAATAGCAATTTTAACCTTATCAAATTTCTATCTTTGTGCCGTTGAGTACCACGTAATTTACAACTTTTATTTTTTACTTCTTAAGCCAATTCCGAGTAATTATATCAGTTCTGTCACCCCTATTACTCAATAATAGACTACTACACATTTTTAGTAATATAAATACGACTGTACAGCCAGCCTCTGAAGATGATTTCGTCGATAAAGAAAATTTTCTTCGCTGAATTTTTCTTGTATATTCAGTCTATTCCTTACAGTAGTCCTACAGGAGGTCAAATAGTTCAGCGGTAGCATCGCCGAACGCAGCGCTAGGTGATATAACTTCTAATTTTCCAGGAGATATCAGCCAATTCCTTCGAGACTTCAGCTATTCGCTGTTGATGACTGCTAACAAACACAAAGTCAAGGTTAAGTAGGGTTCCCTCTGGATTGCCTGCAACGATCCATCCCGATAACGACTCACTTAGCTTGATAACAACCACACTGCAAACCTAAACGGACAGAATAAGGTGACGCTAGAGTCCCCGTATCTGATCTGAAGACGATGAATAAATAGTTTGCAACAGCTCCATTGCTGAACAACACCATCCATCAATTAAGAGAAACGATTTAAATATGATGGAGAAGGTTTGTAGCTCAGGCATATGATTTTGATGTGGTTGTGTTCTCTGAGCTGGATAGTTAATTTGAGAAGCTTTCATCGCCCTACTAGGCGACATCTTCAGCGGATACTTCAATTCGAGGAAGTGAGCTTTTAGATTTCTCCACGAGTTTATTAATCATCTCTCCTGGTGGATGACCTTGGAAGTGGTTGGTTGTTTTTGTGTGTTTTCACACCATCTAGGCTATTTGTGTTGGAACTGATTGTTTCTTTGACTTGAAGTTTGACCCTTTGTGTGTGAGGTTTCTTTCTTATCGGTTAATACATTTTATCTATGTTGATGTGTCTATTGATTGATGATTCAGTGGAATACCAGGCAGGCTTCTAAAATTTCTCTAGCATTCTAGTTGTTTTCCCTGAAGAAAGATATCTCATGGACGTCTTCCAAAAGAATGGATATCCACGGAACTACATCAGAAGACAAATACCCCCGAGATAACCTATCAAACCAAAAGCCCCCAAGGAAAGCACAAAGAAAATCGCCTTAGCATCTCAGAAATCCCTACAAGACTCTTCAAACCTTGATGAGGAATTGACGTCGTACACAAACCAACAAAGTCACTTCACTCAATTCTATGTCAACCAAAAGACTCAACAGCAAAAGAAGATAAAACCAACATCATTTACAAAATAAATTGTAACAACTGGAAAAAACACTACATTGGCCAAAGTGGACGTCCCCTTCGTCTTCGTATCCACGAACATAAGCTGGCAGACAAAAGACATGACATCCACTCCCTCGCTCATATCACTACATACAGACAACCACGGACATCAATTCGATTGGGACAACCAACGTTCAAATATTAGACAGAGGAAACAGCAAGAACGCGCGAGAATTTTTAGAAGCCTCATATTCCAGTGAATCATCAATCAATAGACGCATCAACATAGACAAAATATATCAACCGATAAGAAAGAAACCTCACACACAAAGGGTCAAAGTTCGAGTCGAAAAAACAATCAGTTCCAATACAAGTAGCCTAGAGGGTGTGATAACACACAAAAAACCAAAGAGTCACGTTCAAGGTCACTACCAGGAGAGATGAAAAATAAACTCGTGGAGAAATCTAAAAGCTCACTTCAACGAATTGAAGTATGCGCTGAAGATGTCGCCTAGTAGGGCAATGAAAGCTTCGCAAATCAACCATCCAACTCAGAGAATACAAGTATATCAAAAAAAGAGAAAAGATCTACCAAAACTGTTAGTTACTCATGAAATTAACAAGTGACGTAAACAAATCACTTCAATATACTCTGGAGGTATACAACAAGCTGATGTGACTGAAAATGAAAAAAGAGTTGCTAACTAGAATCGACTGTCATAACATCCTCTCATACTATCTTGATGGCTGTAATACGCAAGACTTCAATTTCATTAGTATTATTGCAGTACGAATCTTGGTCACAACAGAATAAAAGAAAAGTGATCTTGGAGTAACCATCTGTTCGGCTTGAAAGCTTACATTGAGACAATAAGTCTGGAGTCTGTTGTGACCTACACTTTAGATCCAGTTTCAATTACTACTTAATTTCTTCTCTATGACAAGGTATACTACTGATTAACCGATATAAGTAGTTGAAAGCATTTACGTCAATAAGTAGTGCTTGCTAGTTAGATCGAAGTGTCAAGCGGACTATATATATCGTTATGTGTATATTTTTGGATTTTCTAAGTACATCACTGTGAATTCTCATCAAGTTGCTTATTTGATTATTTGTATTACCAGTTTCTCCCAAAATAGTAAGCTGGGACTAGGATGATTAGAACAGATCCACCTTTCTGAGTTGACTCAAGCCAGAAACACCAAGTGATGAGCTCATTTTCAAACGAGCTTTCAATGTTCACATCATTTCGATCTGGCTAGCAAGTTCTGTTGGCTGATGTGAATTGTTTCCAGCCACACATTTTAATCAGCAGGACGGGCTAACATGACATTATGCTTGTTTTGTTAGTTCCCATTCATCGTAGGTCGTAAATCTGATTATTTTGAGGTACCAAGAGAAACCTTGACAAATTTTAATCTCGAACTGTGCAATTCTTTAATAGTTTATTGTGTTCTATGCACTGCTATTCCGCTAAATTAGCCATCCGGAATTCGAATGATTGGAACTCATTTGACTCTATAGGCTAAGTCAAACTGTTTACACCGTGGGTAAATAAGCTCATCCTCCCACGAGTGAAACAGTTGTCCGTGTTAACATCACGTCAGTATGACCAGTAATAAGTTCTACTGGTTTCCCACTACGCATAGCGGTTGGAGCAAAGTTAAACTTTAAGCAACACTAACTACCAATCAGCAAATGACCTCGAACGCACCAGTCACATGAAGGAGGCATTTTTGTGTATGGAATATTTATATTTATGGAAAAAAATGCATAAAAACTGTAGAAAATTATTACACAGGATACCTTCCTCTCACATGTGGTAAAAATAGCTCTCAGTTTTAGGTTGGAGTATCAACAGAGTATAATTCCATTGTGGGTAAAATTTATTTTGATTAAGTCTCATAGTGTTATACAGTAATATTTACTGAGCAATAAATTGTGCTCGAAACGTTGTCATCAGTAAATATTACTGTATAACACTGTGTGATTTTATCGAAATAAATTTTACCCACAATGGATTTATACTCTACCAGCACAGTTCACGGCAAAGTTCAACAATAGCGTCCCAGGAGTGAGTGACTTTCAGCCAACCAATCATAAAAATGAGGAATGTTTGCTCAGAAAATGATGTATATTGGCAAGAAAATGCTTGAAAACGCATTATACAGGTTATATTTCTCTGACATGACTTAAAAATACGTCGTAGTTATAACAAAGAATATCAGTTGCTAAGTTAGACTAGTTTATGTACATGCATTCACTGAGATGACTGCAGATAAACTGATTTTGTGAATAATTTATCTCTCTCATCCTGCTGGCAGTCTTCCAAAAAAAGCTCTCGGTTGAATTATTATGGTTTCCAGCAAGAGGATAGACGACTACTTACCACGAAAACGTGGATAATAAAAAAAATTAAAATAAATGACATCAAAAATAGATCTATCCCTAATCGTAACCATAAGCTTAATCCTGACCCTAACACTAAACCTAACCTTAATCCTAACCCTAATCATAACCCTTATTCAAACCGTAATTCTAACCCTAATGCTAATTATAACCCTGATCCTAACCCTAACCCCAATACTTACCTTAACCCTAATCCTAACCCTAACGAGCTATTAACACATTGTCCAAACAGTACTTAAAAACGTGATCTGGGTGAAATTTGCTCCTAAGTTGGTGAATAGCGTTGATATTTCAGCTATGATAATGACAGATGCCGTTAGCCAACGACTAGCATGCGTTCAAGGTCATTGGAGCGTTCACACTCCTGGAACGCTATTGTTGAACTTCGTCCAGTTCATATGTTCTATTCTTATATCAACAGAGTAATTTAACCACATTCTATGCATGTAATTATTTAGGTCCTCTAACCCTAACAATAACTCCAATCTTTGGTGAACCTAACCCTAACATGAAAATATCTCTAAACTAACTGTAATCTAACTCGAAGCAACCCTAATGTCGTCTTTATTAGGTTAACCTAAGCCAAACCTTGTCCTTGGCTTATAGCGCAACTTAATCTTTCCAAAACCAAAGCAGAAACTTGCCAGATATCCCAATTAATAGCACAACACTTCGATGAGCATATTTTATTGATGATGACAACAATATTAGCCAGGTCTCACTAACTTGATGGGTGAACATCTCAATGGTCGCACCCCATTGGTAGTTAGTTAGTGGTGCTTAGAGTTTAACTTGGCATCAATCGGTCGCATATATTAACATAAAATTATGCTCGCTTTCTAGATTGTCAAATATGGTGTATTATGTGAATTTTTACCCCCAAAACGGTGTAATTTGTAAGCTGTGAGAATCTAAGGAAGCTCTTAAACAAAATATTAATATTACAGAACACTTTTATTCCACACAAAAAGAAAGTTTAAACTTACCAGCATTTCTTGTGTCTACAGTGAATTGACAATTTTGATTCGCCATACCTTCACGTAGACCAGTACCATAGATTCGAACTTTTGATGCATTACCAATTTCACTTTCACCAACATAAATTTTAAATGGACTATTGGCAATATGTCTACCATTTCGAAATACATTGACAAAATGTTCACCAATTTCATGTGGAGTAAATGAAATGCCTATTAAAAGAAAAAAGTTAAAACAAGTAATCCAAAAATGGTAAAAGTATGCTTTAGGGTTATTAAAATATGCCGGAAAAATTGAAGCAGTTGGTTTCACTTCATAGTAGAATGCTCACTTAAGCCTTTGAAGAGAAGAGAGGAGTAAAACAAGACTTCCTACTATTACCGATGACATTCCTCGCTGTAGTGGATTGGATCATGCGAAAAACAGAGGAGAGTAAGAAGATCGGTATACGGTGGACTTAAGAAAGAATCCTAGAAGGCATGAGCTTCATCTGCGATAAACAAGCGAATACCAACAAGATGGCAGGATAATCAATGAAGACAGGACTTCAGATGAACATCAAGAAGACAGATGTGATGAAGATATCTAACTAACAACGACAGTAACAGGAATCAGCCACCATCAATGGGGAAATTGTGATGGAAGTTACTTCTTTCAGTGACCTCATCAGTACCATTTCAGCTACAACCATCAGGGATGAGGACTTTGAAGATAGGATCAGAAAACTGAGACAGGTGTTCATTACTCGCAGAAACCGAGAGAATAACAGTAAAAGACAACGACAGAAAATACACCTCAAATCCTCTTCATCTACCTGACATATTTTAGGAGAACCGAATGTTTCTTGTTAACAATCAGTTATCCTGATCAAATTTTCCATATACGAAGCCATACGTCTGAGAGTGGCTAGTTATATTAACTAGTTGCCCAAGCTAAAGTCGATAGATCGGCATTCGAACCCGAAATCCATTAGCTGCTAGCTAACTATCGAAGTCAATGACTTGAATCACCACTCTAGTCATCTATTTGATGTTAGTTGGTAACACATAAGTCAAATTCTGATGCTCACTAGCGACCAGCCCTATTCAGGTAAGTAGTTACCTGGGGTTCTGGTGGGAAGTCGTGACCAGTAGAGTACAGCAGGTTGAATGTGAGAACACTTACTCGCCGAAGAAGACATTGCTAAGTGGTCACGCTATGTCGTGAATTCACAGAAGTTAGAATTCATGAACTGGTCAGTGGATCGTGTCCCAGTAGCTTAATGGTCTGCGAGCTAGCTCACTGGGCTTGTAACCAGAAGGTCGTGGATTCTAACCTCCTGTGGTGGGTGCGTGCTGCTGAAGAGTCCAAAACTAGGACAGAGGAAACAGCTGTCTGGCAGTACTGCCTGATGATGATCATGACCTTTAAGCGCTTTGGTGAACTGGGTCATGTTCAGACCATGGGGAGTGAGGAAACAGGTATACTTTGAATTGATAAAAAGGTTCTTGGATATCTGAACTTCACGAATCTTAGATTCACGGGGGGAAACTAACAAAATACAGGACTTCTGGTGACTATGGAGAAGAAAGAGGTGATACAAATGCCTGACGAACGTCAAGAACAAGCACTAATTATCAGCAGCAGTAACAGGAATCTAGAGAAATTCATCTGTTTCACTTACATGACCTTGGCGGTACTATTTCGACTACAGATGGGCAACGGGGATGAGGATGTCAAGGACAACTGGATTCGAATCCATCCATCCATCTCCATTAGCTTTAACAAATTCGTTGGGTAATAAGTCCTTAGGATGGTTCATTACCTGAATTCCTTTATGTACTACTCAAAAAGTAACATCAGTAGCACACATCATCACATTACAATAAACCACTTGTTTTATTCTTACAAGTACCACAAACAAATAACTAAAAGCTTTCACATTTAAAGGCGGCTGCTTTATACTACTACTACTTGCATTATGAGTAGTGAGTGTATTTTTTCAATTCCCAAAATCTATACTTAATGGATTTCGGTATGCGGCAAGCAATAAATCTAATCTCTTTTAACCTTAACTAAAAATGAAGCTATTCTCCATTGAGTTTTTTCTCCGCCGGTCTGTGTTCTTCTCCTATTTATAAAACATTTATCACGGTTATTCTTAATTCTTAAGTAATTCATACATTATATATGAATTACTTTTTCGCTATGTACTAACATACCACTACTACTACCCAATTTTCGCTCTACCATTAACATAGCAGGTAGGACTAAGTACCTTAATCACTAAAAGTAGAGGATCTAAATATAAATTTGGAAATTGATTTCTTTCTCCTTCTCTTCTTCTTCTTCGTCATCTCCTTCAATTTATAACTATTGGACATTGAACAACTTTGTTATAATTGAAACAAAATGTGATGGCGGGAAAAAGTGGTTTAAAGTGGAATTTATCGATTGCGTTTTTTTTAAAGTCTGTCGGAATAAAAATCTTGAATGAATTCCCTTAAGATGACTATTACAACTCCTTAAAACTGTCATTTAAGCGTAAAATTGTAGTATTTGAAAAGAAATCCAGAAAAGTAGAATGAAGAATGCTTCAGTTAACAGTCTCTTTAGGAAAATAAGTAAAAATTCAGCTGTTAACAGTATTGCTCTTTTTTCTTAACAATTTTAAAATTAAACTATTCCACCCTTTACAACTATAATTTGCAATATTCTTAAGTGTCTCTTATCGATGTTGTTGTTAGTGTGTGTGTGTGTATTGTCCCCTGAGCTGGATGGTTTATCACTGTACAGACTGTCATTGTCCTCCAGGATAATATTTCCAATATGAATTTAGTGCTGAGTAGAACTTAAGACTAACATCTTGCTCAATAACTGTCCATATCCTTTCGATGACTCCTCACACGATTTCCTCTAGTCTAGAGTCTACCCAAAAGAGTGATGTTATTCAACCGTCTCCTCAGAAGGTGTTCAATCCATTTTATTTGTATTTTATTTTGATTAGAGCTTGACTCCACGTCGTATTTTTAGTAAAAGTATGGAATTTTCAGCATGTGTTGTCGGAAACGCGAATTCAGCAGGCCTACCATTGGTATCAGGTGTGCGTTGGCAGATGATCGAACCCTTGACCATGTGCATAGTTGGCGAGAGTCCTAACCGCTTTGTCAGTGACGCATACGTATAGGGACCCGAAAATCGATTTTCCTGACCAATACTAGTTCGATGGTTGTAAGCTTTGAAAGGAACTACTTTTCATGCAAATTGTTAGTTATCTATGTTGAAAGTAAGTGATTGCTTTTCAAGTAAAAGCTCAAAGTGGTGAGAACAAAACTGATTTATAAATCATTCAGTTGTCAATTTCTCTGAATTATTGGTTGATAAATGCGGACTAGCAGTCGAATTCAGTATGCATATTTCGTCCTATTTAAGAATCATCAGCTGGATATGCCTGAATAGCCAGTGAGACATAAATCCAGCACATACATCGCTTTTGAAAACTAAAGGTCTATCCATTAGGCTACCTCTTGTTTTTAGATGAGTTTAAGTCCCTTGTCAATTGATAGTGTTGTTGATGTGTCAGCTCCTAGCACGGATGTCCACACGATGTCCAGTGGTTATCTTGATGTTATTTTGGTTGATAGTGACAAGCAATTGAATCCAGGACCTACACGCTTCTCCCTAGTTTAGAACTTGTCAGCTGGATATGATTGTATCACTAGAGAGTAATGGTGCTCCTAGCACTGAGACTCAAATCCAGAACACACACACACACACACACACGCATGCTTTCAAAAACCAAAAGCGTTATTCACTAGGTTACTGCTCTCTTGAAATCCAAATCTTTTGTCCAAGGGATACTAGTTATTAGTCCGTGGAATTATTGGCGATTGGTTCTATTAATTTAAATAAACCGCCTGAAGTCATTAAGATCGAATATGTCATATGGAATTATTCACCATATGACTCGAGATTATGAATTCCAGCAAGGAACATATATTTTATCATCACTGTTTTTTATTTATTCCTTTCCGTTCCCGGTGGAGCACAGGGCCACTTCAAGCTAGAGGATTGAAGTTTCGGTAGTAGTGGTGTCTATTTTTACGGGATGGGGTTGCTAGCCTCATGCCAAACCCTTCCTCTTTACCAGTCTTACTACGGGTTTAGCGAGGCAAAGGAGTGCATCTGTGGCAGGAGATTGAACCCTGAACCACATGAGGCGCCAGCAACGCACTTATTATGACAACTAGTAAAGAATTCGCTCAGCTAGTCTTCGAATTAATTGGAGCACACAAGGCGTTCAAAGTGAAGAAGTCTGTGAGATTAGTTTATTGAAACAGGCTTTGTTAACTGATATCAGTTAGAGAACCATTGAAAACCAACAAGGAGTACTGGACAGCTTTTCCATCCTATTTTGCCATTCATCGACAGTACGCACCCACTGTTAGGGTTCGAACCTGGGACCTTCTGGTTACAATACAAACTCGTAGGTCATTCAGATACTGGGACCCAACTCAATGGCCAGCCCATAAATTCTAGCTGCTGCCAATTCGCGATTTTAGCACATCCTCAATCCAAACCAGGTAGATCCGACTGCTCCTGACTTCTCCTTAGAACTCCAGGCAACCTCGTCCTTGTTAGTTTTCAATGGTTCTCTTACTGAGATCAATCCATGATCAAACCGGAAACAAATCAAATACCTTTAAAAATAATTGATTACGCAATTTATTATCTTCAGAAACTACTTTTGAGTCACACATCCCCCTATTATTCAATAATAGACTACATGCTTTTTTTCTTAGTAAATATCAATACAGTTAGTTGTACAGTGACTCGTTGAAGATGACTTCATCAATAAAAAGAGAATTTTCCTCACTGGATTGTCTTTTCTGAGATTTTCTGAGATTATTTCTTAATGCTCTTAGTGGGAGTGTTGATTCACATTAGGCATGATTGTCTAAAGTTTCACCAGACCTTAATTTAGCATAAATGAACTAAATACCAACTAAATAGTATATTTACTTTTTATGCATAATGAACAACAATCAACTCACACAGGATGGCTTCCATTTGTTCATGTCAATCATCTTTCTATTATGTTACTTTTTCTTGATTGCTATTTATAATATCAAGTGGGTTACATAATGCTACCAGAATATTTTACTATTTCCAATGGGAACCATGTTGAAGTGTTTTTTCAAGTACTAGTTTTGTAGGGATTTTGCTTGATTGGTTGGAGGATTTCATCACAAGCTGACATTAGTTAGAGAACAATTGGAAAACCTGTGAGTTTTGCCAGACAGCCGTTTCATCCTAGTTTGGGACTCTTCAGCACCACGCACCCACCACAGGAGGCTAGAACCCATGAACTTCTGGTTACAAGGTTAGCGAGCTCATAGACCATTAAGCCACTGGGACTCGATCTAACGGCCAGTCCATGAATTCTAACTTCTGCCAATTCACGATATAGCACAATCACTTAGCAATGTCTTCTTCAATGAGTAACTATCTTCACCTTCAACCTGCTGTACCCTACTGGTCACGACTTCCTACTAAAATCCCAGGTAACTACTTACCTGAACAGGGCAAGTCGCTAGTGAGCATCAGAATTCTATTGATGTGTTACCAGTTACATCAAATAGGCGACTAGAGTGGAGATTTGAGTCATTGGCTTCGATGGTCAGCTTTCAGTTAATAGATTTCGCGTATGAATCCCGATCTATCGACCTTAACTTGAGAAACTAGTTAGTATAACTAGCCACTCTCAGACGTATGGCTTTGTATATGAAAAATTTGATCAGGATAACTGATTGCTAACAAGAAACATTCAATTCTGATAAAATATATCAGGTAGATGAAGAGGATTTGAGGTGTATTTTCTGTTTTTTTTTTACTGCTATTCTCTCAGTTTCTGAGAACTCCGATTAGAGAGTAATGAGAACCTGTCTCAGTTTTCTGATACTGCCTTCAACGTCCTCATCCCTGAAGCTTGCAGTTGGAATGGTACTGGTGAGGTCAATGAAAGAAGTAACTTCCATCACATTTTCCCCATTGATGGTGGCCGATGCCTGTTACTGTCTTTGTTAGTTAGATATCTTCATCGTATCTGTCTTCTTTGTGTCCACCTGAAGTCCTGCCTTCATTGATTATCCGGGTAACTTGTTGGTTTATACCTGTTATACTCCTAGTTTCTGAGGCATGAATCATAGATCAAGTTCATATCTTCTAGGGTTATTTCTTAAGTTTGCAGTACCCCCTTCGTCTCATTCTCCTCCACTACAGCGAGGAAGACCATTGGTAATAGTACGGAGTCTTGTTGTGAATCACTTGACATCACTTGGCATTATTATATAGCTTCTGAATAAGGTTGTTAAAGGTTTAGGGCACCCCATAGTAATAAAGCAGTTCCCAAATTACTCCACGGTCAATCCTATCGAAGACCTTTTGAGAGTCGATGGAGCTGAGATTAACTGTAATTCTTTGCTCACTTTGACAATGATCCCCTAACACTGCAATTTAGTATTCACCTGCACACACCGTATTGTAATTCCCTTCCTTAAATAGTAGTGTTCACACCTTTATTTTTTTTACAAAGTGTGAAGCTGTTTACTGTACATTCTTATGGGTAGCTGGCCTAAGCAATTATTGTTCATTCCTTGAGTTCTGTATGGAACACAAGGCTCCAGTGGAGCATCTCCATTGCATCCGATTATCTGACATCAATTTCAGCTTGCTTCCTGACTACCCACGAACTTCCATCTGCACTTCACATCATCTCCACCATGTTACACTTTAGGATGCCCGATATCTATCTAGGCGATACTTCAAGTTTTATTGGTATATTTTGGTACAGATTTATTAAAGTAATTAGAACAAGTTGATAATTATCTCTTTTATTTATATCAACTTACCTAAATGTCCATTTGGTAATCTTTTCAGTGTAGATGGTTGTTCCAGACCCGATGGACTACGAACTGTCGCAACTAAATTATAAATATCTGTTTCAGTGATACGTAATGGCATTTCACTTGTTGTACCAACACAAACTTGATTAAATCGACGAGATTCACCTGTAAAAGTAAATAAATTATTAGTAGTAGTATTTAGATTATGGCATTTTTTTCAGAAATTTGCTGAAGATACATTTTTTACATAGAATAACAGACTACTTGTAAGGTGTCAAAATAAACAGTATTATCTGTTTGACAAACGTCGTGCTAGGCTGAAATATTGTAAAATGGGAGACAATGGTAGTAATTAGTCATAATAGATTTGTAGAGTGTGGAGTAGGAAAATTAACAAGTCTCTTCAAGGTTATAAAAGGCGTCAGGGGAGCGGAGTGGCTAGTACAAAGTGGTATATATCGAAGAGAAGATGGTAAGACTGCCATGAGAGGTTCATAATGAAATAACGAATGTGTGAAATGAAACAGATGGAGGCATATTTTACTGAGAAAAGAGATAATATCACTAGTAGTAAGTCCGGATAGTATAAATGGAAATTTTGATAGTATTGAGAGAGTGTTTGCATGAAAGGTATAAAGGATGACGAATAATAATAGTAATTGTAACAATAAGCAAAGAAAGAAGGAAAAAAAACCAAGAGGGTTAAGGGAAAGAAGCACTCTCGGTGAGATTAATCATCAATCCAAGTTTGGCCACGGTAGGAACAGCATCTGGACATGTTCTTTTTGGATACAAAGTTCCGGTTTAGTCGATCTTATTACAACAGCTATGTGTAGAAGACGTAAGCGAACTGTACATGATAAAGACTTCTGAATTTGGTATATAACCCTAACAGCTGTGTCGACGTCGATGTTATGTCCAGTTTCCACCAAGTGTGAGAGGATCGAGCTTTTTATGCATTTAATTTCCTCCCTTGCTGAACCAAGCTGGTAAATGTTCTCGAACCTGTAGACGAACCTGCCTAGTCGTGCGCCCAATACAACTTGAACCATAGGAACAGTTGAAATGGTAAATGCATGAAGAAGAGCTAAGGTTAGGTAAGACATTTTGAGTTACTGGGTGAACATTGGACGGCTACTGAAGGATATATACAGACGTTCAGATTAGAAAGTCTTCTTTATCACCCTGGTTAAACGCTGCAATAGAATCTCCGCAGTAGTATCTCCCTTGATGAAGAATCCCAAACTAAGATGAAACAGTTGTATATATATATTTGGATAGCGTTATGAGAAGACGGAGATTATCTGAAAAATGTGATGTATTTGCGCTATACATTTCGAACAATCTGATCACACATTTACTTGTCAAGTCGATATATATGAAAAAACTAAGGGTAATTAAATTAAACAAAGTGACAAAAAAAGGATTTAAGAATGATTACACAACGTTTGGTAATCCAATCAAATATGGATTACCAAGGTAGGTTGAGAGTAAAAATAAACTGTTTTTAAATATACAGGGGGGGAGCTTAAGTTTATGAATAGCTATAGCCTCGACTTATTTCAGTAAGCGTCCTTGACCGTTTTTAAAGGCTGAGTTAACATCAATCTTATGGTTCATCTCGATTAGATGTTTAGCTATAGATTAAGTTGGTAGTCTGACATCTGCATCTACTGGTCTTTCACAATTCATATGCTTTTCTAATCATTTCAGGATATGCTCTCCCACCCTCACATGCAAAAGCGCGATTACTTCTCCTTATGTATGTGTGACCACACACACACGAAAATTGGTAAATAGTGTGGGTGCGACATAATCACTTGTGAAGCATATTTTTAGCTTTTTCCACAATTACAAGCTGGGCTGCGTAATAGGTTCTACGGATGATCGAATTTAACCTTTGTCTCAAAACCCTACTGTTTATTCCCCTGTTATATGGTAATTTGATGAAAACGTTTTTCATAGAGGCGGTATGGATTGTAGGTTTAGAGACTAATTGAGTTCTACAGCTGTTTAAAAATTTTGAAGGATATCCGTTTTCAACAAGAGTATCCATCAAGATTTAGTTTTCTTTGTCTATGATATCAGACGTGCAAATACGTTGAATCCTCTTAAATAGACATAATCTCCGTCTTCTGATAACGCTATCCAAATTTATAAAAGGGACTAATTGTTATGTTTTTACGAGTTGATCACGGATTGATATCAGTCAGAGAACCATTGAAAACCAGGGAGTACTGGACAGCTGCTGTTTCATCCCAGTTTGGGAATCATCGGTAGTACGCACCCACTGGAATTCATGAGCCATTGAATCGGGTCCCAGTGGCTGAATGGTATACGAGCTTGCCTTGTAACCGGAAGGTCCTGGGTTCGAATCCCAGTGGGTGCGTACTGCCGATGATTCCCAAACTGGGATGAAACAGCAGCTGTCCAGTACTCCCTGGTTTTCAACGGTTCTCTAACTGATATCAATCCATGATCAACTTGTAAAAACATAACTAACCCTTACAAACCAAACTATAGAAAAAAAACTAATTGTTATATATATATATATATATATATATATATATAATCGAGTCACTGAGATCTGAATCCCAAGAGGTATATGCGAATAGACTGTCGATGGTCTGCAGTCCCAAACATGCGTGTATACAATAACATGTACAAATATAATACTAAGTTGATGAACTTCAGATTTCAAAAGTAAATAATCATGAATAACAAACTATATATATATATATATATATATATATAGAGAGAGAGAGAGAGAGAGAGAGAGAGTAGCGGTGAATGCTTACGATTGGTGTTCACATTGAACTTTATTTATACTTATTATGAACAGGGAGAGTAAACTGAGTAAACAACGTTGTGTGGATGTACAGTGTGTAAGAGGGAATAACCAATTCTATCACATCTGATAGATACAGGACATCGTGTTGACGCAAACATAACCTCTGTAGTCTTTATTATTCACAGTTCACTTCAATCTTCGTCATATAGTTGAAGCTGTTGCAATAAGATCGAATAAATACGAACTTTGTATTCAGAAAGAACATGTTCAGGAGTTGTTCCTTACGTGGACAATCTTGAGCTATAATTTCTTTTCCCCTTCAAGGGTGTTGTCTCCTCTTATTTTCCTTCCTTTTTCTTATTTTCTTTGTCCTAACAGTTATAGTCACAATTTTATACAATGTATGCCTTTCATTCTAGCATTTTTTTCATGGTGGCGAATTTTCCATTTGTACTATTCTGATTTCAGTAGATTGAATATTCCCATAATTTATTCAGAACAAAGTAGTTAGAGCGAACAATCGTGGTTTCAATAAATTCTTCTTCAGGCTCTCCAATTATAAATCTATTAAGCTAAGCGTACATTAGCCAGCCAGTAAAGGCAAATTAGAATCATATTAGAAATGTGTATTGTGGAACAAGTATAAGATGGAATAGTTTTGAATATCCATGATCAAGGAGAACATGAGATGAAATTATATATATATATATATATAGTCAACAAAAATCACAGGTTTCAAGAGTGAGTGTAATCACGTTGTGTGAGACAATGTGAATACTACAGAAAACAAACCAACGAATGCAGTGGACTAGACAAAAGTTCAAGGCTGAATATAACGACAATAGTAATGATTGTAAAATAATAACGATGATGTGGTGTAAACTTAAAAGTACTATTGGTGAATGATTGTCAAATGATGATCATAATGAATTTGGTGAAGTGAAATGAACAAGATTTTGTAAATACTATAACAAGTGGTGTGAATACGGGCAGTAATTTTGCTCGAAATATTACCATTGTTAAAACTCATCATTGTGTGTAAACTATTCAAATATGTAATTATACTTTATTTGAAGTTGGAAAAGCACTACTTAAACCTAAAGTAATAAAATCATAAGAAAGGTCACGAAAATGAACGTTTGTCAATGAAACAAAGGAACAGAAGAAAAAGAAAGGAAAATTGTGATAGGAATTTAAAGTGCTGATGTTTATGAAGGATTTGTTGGCCTTATTGTAGGCCAAGGTAAACATAGAGGTCGAACATACTTCTTGTGTATACAAAGAGACGGTCTTCTGGTATTCATTGAAACCGCTTCAGCTACTGATAGAAGACTTAATTTAGCTCCTGAAAATAACTGAGAACTCCTGGTCAAGTTTTATCGAGTGTCCAGTATTTACCAAGTGGACTAAGACTGCATTACTTACGTATTTGGTTACCCCTTTACTCAACCATACAGATACATGTTCACGCGCGTGCATGGATAAAGCCCTCTGAGTACGGTCAATGTAAATGGCTCCACATGAGCAGTTGAAATCATAGATACATATTGATGAAGTCACCTTTGGTAATTTAACCTTGACTCGTTGTGTTTAGTTGAGAAGTTGAGTACCAGTTTAGCTGCAGGAAATGTTCTCTATACTGCTCTATTAAGTCGACATTTTAGAATGTCAGCTGCAATTTCCCCTATATAGCTTGAATTAAGATATAGAGGTTTCTTATCTACAGTATCCATCGTTACCCTGTCTCTAGGTATTGACATATACTTTTTTAGGAAATTCTCTGGACATCCATTTTTTTGCAGTGTAAGTTTCAGTTTTGCACATCTCTTCCTTAATGCCTTCCTCTGAGCATGTGATGTATTGAACCGGTGTGAAGCTATGAAAATGGGTGTACTTGTTCCACAAAAAATTTCTGATATGATTCTAATTTGCATTTACTGACTGACTATTGTATGCAGTTGTGTAGGCAATTGTTCCCTCTAAATATTTTGTTCTATTCTGATTTGTCAATTTTCTCCCTTATTTATTTCATGATGAACTCTATTCATCGCGCATTATTTACGGCTAGCCACTCATCTGACACCTTATGCAACTTTGAACTCATTTGTCAATTTTTCTTCACCCTACATTATGCATAAATCTATTATGACCAATCACTATCTTTATCCACTGGCATTTCTCAATATTTTGTAACTGAATTCAGTCTAGCACCTTTTTGTCACACAAATCCTACTTATTCTGTCACCCTGTAACCAATCTGTTATTCAAGCATCGGTTTAGAAGGATTTTGTTTGTTTGGTTGGAGGATTTTATCATGAGCTGTTATCAGTTAGAGAACTAATGGGAAGCCAACTGGGAATACTGTCAGACAGCTGTTTCTTCCATCATAGTTTGGGACTCTTCAGTAGTAGTCGGCCGCCAGGACTCGAACCCAGGACCTTCTGGTTACACGAGGAGCTAGCTCGTGGACCATTGAGCCACTGGGACCCGATCCAATGGCCAACCAATAAATTCTAACTTTTGCCAATTCACGATACAGTGCGACCCCTAGCCAATGTCTTCGGCGAGTATTTGTCCTCACACCCGACCTGCTGCACTCTACTGATCACGACTTCCCACTAGAACACCTGAATAGGGCCAGTTGCTAAGATGTTATTCTACATGAAAATGTATCCACCACATTAATGGGTACTTGGCATACCGAATAAAATACCTGAAGTTAGTATTTATATGTTCTGTCACACCAGTGATTATGACTCACGCCCTTATAAACATTATTTATTTTATTTTATTATAGCTTGATTCCACACAGTATCGTGGTACAAGTATGTAATTTTCAGCATGTGGAGCAGTAGCCTAAATTTAGCAGGCCGATCATTGATATCAGGTGTGCATCGGCAGGGGATCGAACCCCGGACCATGTGCATGGGTGGCGAGCGCCTTAACCTCTGTGCTATTGACGCGCAAACAAGTGACATTACTGTTTATTCACATTTTCATCTGATATTCTCAATGACTACTCCTTTTATATGACAATCAATACCAATGGACAACTATTCCATCTTGTACTTGTAACCCAATACAGTTTCTGATATAATAGTGATTTGCCTTTACGGGTGCTATTGTATTCTAATGTTCATGGATTTATAACTGTCGAATTTTGAAAAGGGGAAGTTTTTGAGACCACATTGTCTGCTCAAATTATTCTTGTCCTGAATATGGGGAGGGGGCATATTTAAATTATTTTTAGTGAGAAGTCGTGACCATTGGGGTTCACCTGATCAGCAGTGAAGACAAATACTCGTCATCCATGACACTGGCTGTTAAAAAGCGCTAATATCACGAATTGGTAGAAGTTAGAATTCATGGGCTGTCGATAGAGTTAGGTCCTAGTGTCTGAATGACCAGATCGCCCTCGGTTCGAACCCTAGTGGTGAATGAGTATGATGAGTTGCAAACTAGGACGAAACAGATCCCCAGTGCTCCTTGCCAGCCTGGTCTAGTCCATTCTAGTTTAGGAGGTAGGAATTCTTAAACTTAGGTTTCGTACTTGCTGATGCTTGTCAGCAAGATCAATCTATAATCCCCACAGAACTGAGGTCCCCTAAGAAATTCGAACCTACATTAGTTAGTGTTGAAGTCAGAGACATTACCAATGAGCTATTCATTGTTGCCCATATCTATTGATAAGTTAAGTATGAGAATAAATGTAAACTGCTGAAACTAAACGAATATCTCTACGAAATCTCGGACGCCCTTCGCGTTTTCTCTGGACTGTTTCAGCTGAAGTGACTCCTGCAGTTGTCCATGTGGACAGCTAGAAGCCTAGTACTCATTAAATCAATTTGAAATTAACCGTTGTGTAGATTTGGATCAAACTTATCAGTCAATAACGAAAATAGTCCTTACTACCGAAAAGTCAAATATCAGGTCAATGAAAGGATCACCATCAGTGTAAGTGAATCAGTCACTGGAGAAGCCATCAGGAGAGATAAGTATTTCATTCCCAGAGAGTTTCCAAAGCCCGATTCACATTGAAGATACAGCTAAAGATGTCATTCAGAAGCTCTGTTATTAAACAGTCCAGTCCAGAGAGCAAAAGGACATCAAAAACTTCTATTATAATGACGACCATTTAGTGTAAAAGACAATCAGCTCATTAAGCAGTGTCATAGGTATAAAGCTACACTACTTACCTGCTATATGTGCAGTGAACGGAGAACCAGGTATATGATTCTCCATAAATTTAATCGATATTGTATATTCTCCCGGTACCAGTGGTAAATAACTTACACTACAAGTACCATTTTTATTATCATCACATTGAATATCTGCTTTCGATGGTCCTTCCACAGAAAGTGATAGTCCACCTTAGGGGAAAACAAAACAACAACCAAAAACAGAAGATTTCATTAGTAGACAAAGAAAAAACAGTTATGTATTTTTGTGCGGGACACATTTCACCAAATATATAAAAGCTGAAATAAAATTAAACACGGGTTAGCTCAAGGATTGATGTCATAGTATTGCTCTCCTAGGGATTCGCTTTAAATAACTAAGCTGCTTAGCTATCAAATACATTTCAAGTGTTCAACTACATAGATCTGATTGACTACAAGTTAGATTTAACCACGAATTCATATCATCCACGGAGGCATGGAAAATCTGGAGAAGTTAGGACCTACAGAGTCAGAAAAAGCCAGAATCCACGGGCTGTTGGATTCCAGACCAGCAGTCGCATGGTCATGTTCTTGACTCTTTGTCTGAAAATCCTGGGCTCGATTCCCAGTCAAGTTTTTGATGCGTATTGCTGAGGAGTCACAAATTTGGACGAAACAATCAGGGAAATCAAGAGAACAAGTGTACTTGTACGATGTTATGTACTACTGATTGATTGATTCATTGATTGATATGACTGGTTGGATTCCATTCACACCAACCAGTAGTGGTCGCCAGCAGGATCAAAGTGTGGTCACAGTGTGACTTAACACAGACAACTAAATCAGGTCGAACTGGCGTAAAAGCTTTATTTCCAATCTTCGATTACATAGTCGTATGAAAAGTTAAGAAGCATACTTAGCAGTTGTACCACAGTCAAACTAAATAATTTTCAGAAAAGCCTCTTCTTGTTTTCAAAGCTATCAATTTATCCTTTATTGTTGCTTTTTTTTAAAAAAAATTTTACAACCAGTGTGACAAATAAGATCAGTCTCCGAGACTGAAGTCTCTGATTAATAGCAACTTCTGATAGATGAAATCCCGGAAGAATCGACTCTATAACCTGCGAATTTTTTTTCCTTCACGTTCCCCAGTGGAACATAGGGCTTCAAGCTTGTGGCTTGGAGTTTCTGTAGCAGTGTTTATTTTCCAGGATGGGGTTGCTAGCCTCACCCCCAACCTTCCCTCTTTACTAGTCTTATTGTTAGCTTAGTGAGATAAAAGAGTGTGTCGGTGGCCGGGGATCGAACCCCGAAGCAGATGAGGCGTGATTGGCGATCATTCTATCTCTGTGCCACCGACGCCTCCATTACTCTATCAGAGACTGAACTGAGAATATTTAGCTGACTGTTTGGTCACTGGTTCGATATTCAATGTCCCCCTGAATTCTTACTTCTAATATAAAGCTACCGTCGATCGATACTATCAACGAACATCTGAATAACTCCATTTTCCAAAGGAGGAAATCTCACCTCATGAATTAATCTGCAAGCCAATAATTTGACTTTTGATCCCTAAATATTCTTAAAGTGACAGTCATCTCTAAAGTGTTATGAAATTAGGGTAAATAGACTTCATCTCCACGTCTTCACAACCGAAGACAAACAGTTCCGGGGGGGGGGGGGGGTAATGACAAAAATCAAAACTAAAAACGGATATCTGTTAGTGAAACAACAACAAAAGTGATCAGGACAGTGCAGAAAAACAACAACAAGAGCATAGTAACATTAGCGGTGCTTCTGTGACAAAAATGATAAACAAAACATAAACCCATCCACCAATCATAACGCTTACACACAACACTAACTATCATCTAATGGCTTAGGTGTTCCTTTATAGAATGGTGGATGTAAGTATATATCCAATCGAAATTCAGTGATATACGGGAATGAACCGATCAGTATTTCTGTTTCACTATGATCTACAATAAAAATACATCTTTGAATGTAATTTTATTAAAACTTAATCATTGGAAAAATAGGAAGAAATATATTTTATGTTAAAGTGTTTAAGTTGGTAGACCTTTCGGTGAAGATCAGCAATAGCGCCCCAGGAGTGCGAACGCTCCAGTGACTTTGAACGCATTCTAGTCGTTGGTTAAAGACACTTACCATTATTCTAGAACAAAAATGAACGCTTTTCATGAATTCAGGTGCAAATTTCACCCAGATCATGTTTGGATGATGGGTTAATAGCTCTCTAGGGTTAGGATTACGGTTAAGGTAGCTATTAGGGTTAGGGTTATAATTAGGATTAGGATTAGGATAAGGGTTATAGTTAGGGTTAGTGTTCAGTTTAGGGTTAGGGTCAGGATTAAGGTTACGGTTACGATTAAAGATAGATTTAGATTTGGAAACCGACGGCTTTTGGGGGAAGACCGCAAAACACGATAAGAGCAATAAAAAGCTCCTAAAACCAAGTTATCTGGATGAATATATGTATAGAAATTGGTTTAATTTAAAAACTGACACTCCCCATTACAAATGGGATGTATTTTTAAGACATTTTAGAGAAAAATACCCTGTTTAATGTATTTTTGTGCAGTTTCTTGTAAATATGCGTCATTTTTTATGCAAAAATTCCTCATTTTTATGATTGGTCGACTCAAGGTCACTCGTGCGTTCGCATCCCTTGGGACGCTATCGTTGAATTTTGCCGACCTTTCAACATTATCCAGGAGATTGTAATCAGTAAAACTTCACGTGCAAGTAGTTTTCTACGTGTTTTTATTCTCTCAGCTGAGAAGCTTTCATCGTCTTTATAGATGAAGTATACGTATTTGATTTCCCCATGACTGACGTAACTGTCTCTCTTGACAATCTTTGTTGTAACTGGTTGCTGATTGGCGTCACTGTTGATAGTTTTCACTGACTTGGAATTCGACTGGTCTCTGATCTGTGTAAATGCCAGGCATCTAGAACTTTCCTGGAAATTTTTGGCATTTTCACTGTTTAAAATTTCCACATTGATGTCCATAGTTGTCTACATACATATACTGATATGAAGGCATGCATGCTGTGTCTTTTGATAGTGAGTTTACGTTCTTGGATTTAGAGTCGAAAGGGATGCCCACTTTTGATGAATATATTGGTTATCACAGTTCATGCGAATTATATTATAGATAGTGTTGATTTGGTGTTATTAGGTGTTAGGTCTTTTGCTCTGTATAATTCTGAATGTAGTGATTGTATTGGTTTCTGTATAAGATATCTATCCCCTGAATGGTTTTAGTATTCCAGTTGTTATTTCAGAAACATTCTTTATACATGCTAGTTTCATTCAAAAACCACGACGGTATTCTTTCATACCAATGTATGCATGTAGACAATTACAGAAATCAATTTCACTAGGAATGGCAGAAACGGGAATTCATGGACTGGTCACTAGATCGAGTCCTAATGGCCTACGAGCTAGTCTTGTAACTATTAGGTCTTGGGTGGGTGCACACTATCGAAGAGTCCCAAACCAGGATGGAGGAAACAGCTGTCCAGTACTCCCCAGGCTTTCGAATATTTCTCTAACCAATGTCAATTCATGATGAAATCCTGAAATTCTTAGAAGGATAGAAAGAAGTAGAAGCCCTTCTTTCTATCCCTTCACTGTACTTGCTCACACAAGTGCATGTAAATTCATAAATGCAGTTGAAGGTGACATAAGCAGGGTGTTTATCCAGTTTTGACTGGCTTATAGAATAAGTGGTGCTGTATAATGTGCCTGAAAGGAATCAAATATTCTCAGAGTGCAATTACCAGACATATTGTTGATACCGGACATCTCGTAGAGATTTCTAAGTCCTTCAAAATATTAAGTAGACAAAAGACAGCGAATTTACTACGATTTGCCGAAGCGATCGCAATCATGCGATTCAAACCAAACTTATGCATACAGAAAGAGAGTGTGATTAATCTCTCACTCCCTTGGTAACTGAATTTAGATTTTGATGACATTAATTAGTCATCTAATTCAGTGATCTCAACTCACTGAACAAATCTCAATCTTATAAACTGTAACCGCTTTTGTTTCTTGAGTTGCTATATGAACCTACAAGACAACATTGTTGTTTAATTTTTCCTGTTTTCTGTCTTACCTCTCCCCCCTCTTTTCTACTTTGAAAGCTTATAAATTGATGATGAAAACTTAAACTAAAAACTGTAATGCTTACGTTTTGGATGCGTCAGTTTTATAGTATTTCTTCTCTACTACCCCTTAGACATTAAAGTATGCTATTATCATGTATATAACTATTGCAATTTCAAGTAGGGGTGTGCAGCTGATGAGAGCCTGTGAAATAGAATGATGATATCATTTTATACTGTAAATTTCGTCTTCCTTTCTTTATCGAAATTTATCAAGGGAACCAAATGTATGAAGAATAAGTTTTTAAATGACAAAAAAGGAGTTGAATTTCAAGTCAATAAAAAAAACGATCAATACTGATGCAAATTAACAACCAATCACAGGAAAGTTTGTCAGAAGATAAAATTATATCATCCATGGAGAAGTGAAAATAAGCTAACTTCATATTAAAGTTTGCCCTGAAGATCTTGTCGAAAGGGACAATGAAGGCTTCACAATTAAACGATTCAGATCAGAGAACACAACCATAGAAAAATCATTCACATGAAATACAAATCGCAACCAAAAAAACTTCAAATCAGGGAACAACTCTCAAGTACGTATGTTTTGAGATATAAAGAATTATCTGAAAAGAGTCTCTTCGCTGGACGCCTTCTTTTATTTTATATGACTGAATGGGGATTTTCAAGTTACTTAAACGTTGCAAGGACCCACTGACGGTGAAGGAGCTGGATGGTTTCCTACGTTACTCCGTCAAACTTGCAGTAGCGAAGACTAAGGTGAACTTCTTAAGAGAGCGTGCAGATCAACATGAATACCCGAAGATGTACTGGAAATCATCCGAACACCAGAACTCTGAGACGACACACGCTAAACAACATCGACTCTATTCAATCACGCATTCCTGAGCTAGAAAGAAATGTCTACTCACGTGCTGATGTAGTCGAAGACTTAGATCCAGAACTACGCCAACCCTTCGAAGAATATGTAAAAGAAGTCACGGAGAAACAATGCGACAACATCAAATCTGACCTCCTTAAGAGCCTAAAGCCTTCAGTTAATACCGAAAGTTTGTTCCCAAGCAATCCAGAAAAGTATGTATTCAACCTCTCAAACATCACACTATCCACAGCTCAACCAGAGGTGTTAACTCTTGGTCAGAAATTCTGCGTAAAACCACGAGGTGTTCACAAGCTTCAATGCCTGGTTCAATTTGAAAACCTGATAAATCAAACCTATGACTTGATACCAACGTCTGATGAGAACCTACAACAATTCAAATCAACTGTCCTCGACTTTTTCCACAAATTTATAAATGGCAATCCAAACAGAAGATCCGTACCAACGAAGAAACACTACAAAGAGCTGAAAGAATTGATAAACAATGAAGAGATTATGCTGATACGCCCTGATAAAGGTGGAGGAATCGTAATCATGAACCGTAAGGATTTTATCAGTAAAATGTTGACCATTCTATCTGATGAATCTAAATTCACCGGACCGGCCAACGAGAAAAACATGACGGAGCAGATTGAACAAAAACTAACAGACATCCTCCGTAAACTAAAGAACGAATCATTCATTACCAACGAAATGTTTGAATCCCTGAGACCATCTGGTTCAAATATACCAAGACTCTACGGACTTCCTAAAGTTCACAAGATGGGCACTCCACTTTGACCGATCCTCGACATGACTAATTCAACTTACCACCGCACTGCCCAATGGCTAGCAGACATACTTGAACCAATCAGAAAACAAGTCTCCCATCACTCAGTGCGAGATGCATTTGAATTCGTCAACTGCATCGAAAACGTCAATGTTTCTAATCAAACGATGATCTCACTAGATGCTGTCTCATTGTTTACAAATGTTCCACTAACTGAAACAATTATCTGAATATCTGAATGGTTTAAAAAACAACTGATTTATTCACTTATACGCTTACCTGCGCCAGCATCTCGTGTTATCAGGGTGAAGTTAGCCGGTTCACCAGCTCGTCCATATGACAGTCCAGGTCCATAGGCTGTTACAACACCAGAGCCGACAGCTTCAACATAAAATCTAAATGGACTACCTGGTATCGGTTGACCATTGTAAGTGATTTCTAATTCATGTAATCCAGGTTCATTCGGCTGGAATTGTGCTGTCACTGTACCATCACCATTGTCAATTAAATTTGGATGGAGAATTCGACCACTTGGTGTACGAACCAAACCTTTTAGAAAAAGAGGATTGATATATATATTAGATAAAAAATGGTTCTCGTCAAAACAAATCTAATCCTTACAGGCCAACTATAGGGAATTAATCTGATGCTGCTCGTTAGTGACTTGTTACAGGACGGAGATTCCTGAAGTTCTAGTGAGAAGTCGGGACCAGTGAGGTCCAGCAAGTCAAGTGTGAGGATGGATGTCCCGCCGATGAATTGGTAGAAGTCAGAATTCATGGACTGGCTATTGAATCAGGTCTCAGTGGCTGACTGGTATACGAGGTCCTGCATTTGAACCCTGGAGGTGGGTGCGTACTGCCGATGATTCCAAAAACTAGGATGAAACAGCAGTCTTGCAGTACTCCCTGGTGCCTTTCAATGGTTCTCTAAGTTATATCAATCCGTGATCAACTCGTCAAAAATGGTTCTTACTAAGAACACACCCACAAACACCATTAAAAATTTCTGATGATATATAAGACAGGAAATAAGAAGTGATTCAAGGTACTTAGTTGTTACTTTCCATTATGTATTTCAAATGCAGAGATAATGTCGGTTTAGATGGTCGTCATCAGTAATCACACTTAACTATTCAGTGTGAAACAGCTACCGCTGTAAACTGACTAATATCGAGTTAGTTATATTCTATGAAAGTTGACTAATATTCTTTAATGAGTATTAATTAAATAAAAACCTAAAATTCAAAGTATATATATATATATGTACATATATATATATATATGAAGCATGAGTGGCTCAGCTGAAAAAAAGTTCTCCAACCACGTACAAGGTGCTGGTTCGAGTCCCAATTAACATACTGTCAAACCCTGCCTAGTTTACTAGCCCACAGAAAACCCAGAAAGGAGAGAAGGTTGGGCATGAGGCTAGAAATCCCACCCCGTAAAACAGTACCACTGTTGATCAGGTTTCAAAGTCTCAAGCCCACACACACGGAATATATATATATATATACATGTATTGGGCACTGGATATTGCAGAATAGGGGAGAAATTAAATACAATGATTTATCACTAAGGTGTCGCTAGTATCATGTGTCTGGTGGTGAGTGATTTTTATCAGAGAAGCTTGAAATTAGAACACCAAAGTAAGTGGCTCACCATCATGGTGCACTTTGAAACAATGTTAGAGTATTGGAGGCGATCAGTAGGAAGTCCTGCCTAGAACCTAGACATTGTTTTTATTATCAGTCATCAGTAGGGCGTACCTATGATCTCGTAAGAACTGATACCCCCTCCCAGCAAGCCGCTTGAAGAGTCCAAATTTTGTCACTTAGACTCTCTGAATGGGGATCACTCACTTCAAGTTCGAAGATATGCTTTGTTGCGGAGTGCTGAAAAGCGAAATTCCAGGGACAGGGGAGAATACAGTATAATGAAAATTCATCCCTTATTCAAAATCATGTAGAAGTGTGAAATTTTTGTTAGTATAATAAGGACGGAAATACAAGGCGTTTAACCTGTCTGTAAGAAATCTTCAAGATGTCAGCTGACTCAACATGAACAGAATCACTATGGTCCAAAGCAAATTACCGGAAAATCTTTTAAGTTCATAGAATTTATCAATTCACAATGAGGATATTGATAATTAGGTAGACAATAGGAGTTTTTGTAAGTCCTTTACGTTTCCACTGGAACATAGGGGGCTTCAAGCTACAGCTTCGAAGTTTCGGTAGCAGAGGTATCTATTTTTACGGGATGGGGTCGCTAACTTCACGCCCAACATTCTCTCTTTACCAGTCTTATTAGTGGCTTAGCGAAATAAAGGAGTGAGTCTGTGGCTGGGAATCGAACCCCGAACCAGATAATGCATGGTTGATGAGCATCTTACCGCTTTGCCATCGACGCACAGACAAAAGGATGAAATTGTGGTGAGAGCTGGCTGCTAGTCAAAGTTGGTAGACAGTAATTTACGTCAGTGTTTATGTCCCCGATACTGGTGGTGAGAAAAATGAGAACAAAGGCTTTGCGTAGGCGGATACAGTTAGCATATGGATGATCTGACACAGCCACACAGAGATGCAAGGTTAACTTTCTGTGAGAAACAACCAATCAAAAGACTGTATTTTCTACTAACAATAATCTACAATAATGTACATTAAAATCTATAAATATGTGTTGATTTTCCTTAATAAACTATCGGTTTCCTGGCCCTTGTCTTCTGTTGTTACAAAATGAACTAATCCCTATCCTACAAAGTTTTTACTTGTCTCACATCTATCTCAAATAAGCTAATGAAACCTTAAAATATTGGTGTTCGGGGCTAAATTATGAACTACTGATATTCAGAGACTTCAGCAATTGGCCTTTTTTCCATTTCTTTGCGTTCCAAGTGGAACTTAAAACCTTCAGCTTTGAAGTTCCAGTAGCTCTTGTGTTGTACTTTTTCATGGGATGGTGTTCCTAACCTAACGTCAAACTCTTCCTCCTTTCCAGGCTCAATATCGCTTAAGCAAGCTTTAGGAATGCATCGATGGCCAGGGATCGAACTCCAACTACGTGGGGGAGAGAGGGGAAGGGGGTATAGTTGGTGAGCACTCTACTCCTGAACCAGTTTAACACTGCTGCATGCCAAGTAATCCACAAAGGGAAATTCACGGAATCCTTCGAAGTGAGGACAGGAGTAAGACAAGGTTGCCTACTATCGCCAATGATTTTCCTGATTGCAGTAGATTGGAGAATGTGACAAACAGTGGGCAATGAAGAAACAGGCATAAAATAGACTCACACAAAAAACTTGGAGGATCTGGACTTCACCCACCATGATATATGTCTCATTTCCCACAAACTGGAAGATATGCAAGCGAAAAGCAACAAGTTGGCAGAAGAAGCATCCAGAGAAAATAGGACTTCAGGTGAACATAGAGAAAACAGAGGTGATGAAGATTCCTGGACAAGAACAACAACAACAGACAACGATCAGCATAAATGGGAGGAATCTGAAAGAAACAACCTCTTTTACCTACATGGGAAGCATCGTTTCAACTACAGGTGGAACTGACGAGGATATCAAAGCAAGGAACGGAAAAGCAAGACAAGCTTTCACTACTCTCAAGTCTGTGTGGAGGTCAACAGCACTCAGCACCTAAGATAAGATCCGGATTTTCAACTCTAATGTGAAGTCAGTCAGTGCTACTCACTATACGGATCAGAGACTTGGCTCGTCATAAAGAGCACCTTTAACAAACTACAGACCTTCATTAACAGCTGTCTTCGCTCAATACTACTCAAGATCAGATGGCCAGGAAAGATCGGCAACAGAGATCTCTAGGAGCGAACCAAACAGGAACCAATTGTGAAACAAATATGCAGGAAGAAATGGAGATGGATTGGCCATACTCTGAGGAAACCATCAAGTGACATTTCTAGAAAAGCCCTCGAGTGAAAACCGAAAGGGAAGTGGCGAGTTGGTCATCCAAGTGTGACTTAGAGGAGGTCATGTGAAGAGGGTACGGAAACGTGTGAGCAGACTTGGAGCCAGGTGAAGACTCTAGCAGAGAACCGAACGCAATGGAGACACACGACTGAAGCCCTATGTTCCTCTAGGAATTAAAGGAAACAATAATAATACATCTGGTTCTTTTGTGTTGCATTGTTTCACCACTTAAGTGGTAAAAAAAGACTGAATTTTATCAAGATTAGATATGAAGCAACAGGTTATTTCTGTCAAATGACCTTTTGTTTTTAACACAGAACACACCGGCGGAAGTAAATGCCAATGGCCTAATCATATATATATGTATATATTATTTTTCAGTAGTAATAACAATGATAGTAATCAGTTGATTCCAAGCAATGGCATTTCTAGCATTTTCATATCAACATAAATTTTATGCCTGTTTGCAAACCCCCTAGAAAAAAAACTAGAGTTTGTGCTGACTATTTCTTGGAAATTCCATTTGTGATTTATATATATATTTACTTGTATGCCTTATTATTAGTGGTTGCAATTCACTATGTGATATTTTCTCTTGCATTTATAATGGCTATGAAAAGTGAAGAGGGGAAGTGTTTTTGCCGAAGTTAAAGAATAGACATACCTACAAGAATAAAACTTGTGCACTGTGGTAGAGTATAATTCCATTATGGGTAAATTTTGTTTTGATAAAGTCTCACAGTGTTATACAGTAATAATAACTGATGACCATGTTTCGAGCACAATTTATTACTGCTCATAATCATATCAAGGTACTCATACGACTTCCTAACTTCATATATATAGTTCCATTATTTTGCAATTGCTGAACTTTTTTCTAAATTACTCATCTTCGCAGGTAGGGTCAACCATTCATACCTTAGCTAAATTCTTATGTTCTGATAATCTGACTATTCCTGACCTACTAGTTTGACCTATGTAGTTGACCTCACAGTCATTGCAGGGTATTTTGTAAATTATATTATTTTGTCTAATTGGGTCAACTGGTCCCTTTAACCTACAGAGCTTATTCTACCTGAATGAGTTTGTAGGTTTAAATGCCATCACCCTAATTTCTACTTTATTTAGAATCCTACGTAGGGTTTCAGATGTCCCCTCTTTATATGGGACATCTTTAGTTGCTGTTTAATTAACCTTGTTATAAGAATAAAACTTGTGCACTGTGGTAGAGTGTAATTCCATTATGGGTAAATTTTGTTTGTTGGGGCTACACCAAACACACGCAATAGCAATGATTCATCACTCATACCCGAGATATGGAAAATAATACTACCAATCAAATCAAGTGAAAAACAATGGAACTATATAAATGAATTTAGGAAGTCGTGTGAGTAACTTGATATGATTATGAGCAGTGATAAATTGTGCTCGAAACGTCATCAGTAAACATTACTGTATAACACTGTGAGACTTTATCAAAACAAAATTTACCCATAATGGAATTACACCTAGAAGAATATGAATAGTGGTCCAAAGGGAATGAAGGCACCAGTGATCTTGAAAGACTCAATCACAGCAAGATGGGTGAATAACACTATATTCTTCTTTAAAAA